TCTGACATAATGGAGGATAAGGTGAGAAAATGTAGTCCAGATCATGAAGAATGGTAAGGCAGTTGGACCTGATAAAATGATGGCAGACCTGGTGAAAATCCAATGATTGAAATTATTAGAGTAAGTGACTGACTGATGGCTCTGTGGGTCCAAATTAAGGCGCATATTCTGCTCCTTGAAAACCAAGAGAGGTATAAAGTGGATGAGCAAAGTAGTTAAAGCCATAGAGTGAATCAAGAGAATTTCTGAAGACTGATGAGTCTATTTTGGCATCAATACATAAGGAAAGCATCCATGAATGCAGACACTATCAAGGGATAAAGTTACCAGAACACACATTGGATGCTAGGATTGGGAGAAAGGTGGATAGGACAAACGAAAAAAACAGTTCTGCTTTAGGAAAAGCTAAGGAACCACAGATTCAATGTTCATAATTCGGCAAGTGATAGAGAAGCAGCTAGAATACCAACAGGATAGCTTCTGGACTTTCATAGACTCTAGACAAAGCATATGTTAAAATGAACAGAAGGATGCTCACACCAGTGTTGAAATATTGTCTGAGAATTTAATAACTATGGGGGATGCAGTATATAATTCTAAAACATGATCTGAATGTGTTTTGGAACAGCAAGCCCCTTGGAATTGGAAATCAGATTGCATGAGGGGTCGGCCCTCAGTCCATTGCTGTTTATCATATTTATAGACTACGTCAGCAGGAAGATCACAATGGGAAAAGGTCAGAAGCTGCAGTATAGAGATGAAATAGCAATAAGGGCATCCTCAAAAGACAACTTGGAGAAAATAGTAAACCAATGGTATGACCAGCTACACAGCCATGGGATGACACTGAACATGACTAAGACAGAGGTCTTGTGGCACAGTAGAGGTACCACAGGGAAACTGGGTATAGAGATTAATAGAGTACGACTAAACCAGACTGACTGATTCAATTACCTGAGTGGCTGGATTATGGAGGACTGTGTTTGAACATGAGCCAAAGGCTAGATTTGAGTGCTGGAAGTGTGTAGAATAACATCCCCCATGTTGCACATCACAAATGTATGCCACTGAGACTGAAAGCCCAATTATATAGAACAATGGTGCACCCCTTAACGGTGGCAGACCAGTGGACTAGAATGTATTCACTTGTGTATTAGTATAGATCAAAATGAGTATAAATGTAAGAGTGTATTCAGGAATTTAAACTTCATGAAAACTAGAGGAATGTTACTTGTATTGTTTTCACTTATCAGTTTCTGTTATAATGTAATAGCAAACATTTACATTGTGCATAACCCTGTAACTAAATAACCCATCAACGAAATCTTGTGAAATCATAATAAAGGACTTTAACAGAAAATGCTAATTTCAAAGCAAGTGGCCATTATGTATGATGGTCAGACATCAAAAGGCTAAGTGCATTCCTCACCAACATCAAAGGAAAAGCCCACGTGTGTAGAAAGACTGTCAGCTTGCTTTCTGTCACAAGAAAAATATAAATATGGATTCTCAGAAAGATCCTTCATTTCTGAACTGTTTACTCACCTCAGTTCCCAGAAAAATCATGGAGCAGGTCCTCAAGGATTCCATTTTGAAGCTCTTGGAGGAGAGAAAAGTGATCAGGAACAGTCAACATGGATTCATCAAGGCAGGGATTGGCAACATTTGGCACACGGCCTGCCAGGGTAAGCCCCCTGGCGGGCCGATCCAGTTTGTTTACCTGCCGCATCCACGCGTTTGGCTGATTGCGACTCCCACTGGTCGCAGTTCAGCACTGCAGGCCAATGGGGGCTGCGGGAAGCGGTGCGGGCCGAGGAATACCTTGACTTTAGCAAAGCTTTTGATACGGTCTCCCACAGTATTCGTGCCAGCAAGTTAAAAAAGTATGGATTGGACAAATGGCCTATAAGGTGGATAGAAAGCGGACTAGATCATCGGGCTCAACAGGTAGTGATCAATGGCTCGATGTCTAGTTGGCAGTCGGTATCAAGCGGAGTGCCCCAGAGGTCAGTCCTGGACCAGTTTTGTTTAACATCTTCATTAATGATCTAGATGATGGGATGGATTACACCCTCAGCAAGTTGGCAGATGACACTAAGCTGGGGGGAGAAGTAGATATGCTGGAGGGTAGGGATAGGGTCCAGAGTGATCTAGACAAACTGGAGGACTGGGCCAAAAAAAATCTGAGGAGGTCCAACAAGGACAAGTGCAGAGTCCTACGTTTAGGATGGAAGAATCCCATGCACTGCCACAGGCTGGGGACCAACTGGCTAAGCGGTAGTTCTGCAGAAAAGGACCTGGGGATTACAGTCAATGAGAATCTGGATATGAATCAACAGTGTGTCCTCGTTGCCAAGAAGGCTAACAGCATATTGGGCTGCGTTAGTAGGAGCATTGCCAGCAGATGGAGGGAAGTGATTATTCCCCTCTATTCGGCACTGGTGAGGCCACATGTGGAGTATTCCATCCAGTTTTGGGCCCCCCATACAGAAAGGATGTGGACAAATTGGAAAGAGTCCAGCAGAGGGCAATGAAAATGATTTAGAGGTCTGGGGCACATGACTTACGAGGAGAGGCTGAGGGAACTGGTCTTATTTAGTCTGCAGAGGAGAAGAGTGAGGGGGGATTTGATAGCAGTCTTCAACTACCCTGAAGGGGGGTTCCAAAGAGCATGGAGCTAGCTAGGCTGTTCTCAGTGGTGGCAGAAGACAGAACAAGGAGCAATGGTCTCAAGTTGCAGTGGGAGAGGTCTAGGTTGCATATCAGGAAAAACTATTTCACTAGGAGGGTGTGAAGTACTGGAATGGGTTACCTAGGGAGGTGTTGGAATCTCCATCCTTAAAGGTTTTTAAGGCCCAGCTTGACAAAGCCCTGGCTGGGATGATTTAGTTGGGGTTGGTCCTGCTTTGAGCAAGGGGTTGGACTAGATGACCTCCTGAGGTCTCTTCCAACCCTGATCTATGATTCGATGACTCTTGCAAGGAAGTATACCAGATGCAAAGTGGAGATCCCCAGAGACAATCTGTGTACCTGAAAAACTTCTGTGAAACTGGCAATTTATTACATTACTACTACAAACTGTGACTCACCTGTTAATATACTTTACGTGTTTTAACCTCAACTCTTATTTCTTTGCTAATAAATCTTTAGTTAGTTTACTATAGAATTGGCTGCCCGTGTTGTCTTTGGCATAAAGATCTGGAATACCAATTGATCTGGGATAAGTGAGACCTGATGTGGTGTGATTTTGGGTTTAAGTGACCATTATCACAAATTCCAGTTTGTCTGGGTGGCAAGATAGGCTGCAGAGTCTAAGGGGATTCCATAGTAAGACTGGTATAGTTATCCAGGAGTTCACATTTGCTGGCGTGATGAAATCTAGTTATAGAACATACTACCAGTTTGGGGTATTGTCCCTTGTTTTCTGACAGTCTGCCCTGAAGCAGGCACTCTGTTCTTAGCCACTCCAGACAGCATGACACATTCCACAATGTGATATGGTGCAGAAGCCTGGGTGGTAGAGACTCAAGGTCAGTGCCTACAGGTGTTTGAAACAAGATGTCTTTGCACAATAAAGGGTTACCTAAAGGAACAGATAGTGAAATGAAAGCATTAAGATAGAAGTCAGTTTGTGATGTGGCTGACAAAATCCAGGAAGCGCAACTTTGCTGGTTTGGAGACATACAGAGGGTGAACAAAGAGGACCTGGTGAAGATAGCATGGAGAGTATGGTAGGAAAGAGATCCTGAGGAAGCAATGGATGGATTGAATCATAGAATCATAGAATATCAGGGTTGGATGGGATCTCAGGAAGTCATCTAGTCCAACCCCCTGCTCAAAGCAGGACCAATCCCCAAAGATGATACGCAGATGGACCTTAGTTTTGCTTTAGACAAAGATGATGGATGCTTGTACAACATCATCACCGGGTGTGGGTGGGGAGAAGATGATCACATCTATTGGCTGTAAATAGAACTAGTTCCAAGTCTTGGAACAGGTGAAACAGACTTTCAAAGGAAGAAATACACAATAATTAAAAAGTGGTGTACTTTATTTCTTCCTCATTTCCACCCTGTTAATGTCCATAAAATTAACTTGTCTGAAATAGCTTTGTTTTGTATTTTTAAGGACTTCACTATGGACTGTGGTATCTGTTATGCTTACCGACTTGATGGTGCTATTCCAGACCAAGTATGTGGTGATTCCCGATGTGGACAACCTTTCCATCAGGCTTGTTTGGTTGAGGTAAAATTTTTATTAATGTAATAATTGCTCCAATTCATGGATCCCTAATATGGGCTTCTGTATGAGAATATTATGGAAGCAGTACAAATAGCTAGTTAAGTGACGGGTAAAGGACTGATGAGAGAGAACAGCTAAGCCTTCTTAATTACATGTTCTTATTGCTGCTTCCGTAGTGTTCTCTCCCATCACTCACGTATGTCTTACAAGCTCTTGGGGGGCAAGGAACCTGCTTTACTGTGTGTGTACGGGCCAAGGTCTAATCCAGACAGGAGCTTCTAGGTGCTACAAAAGTAGAACTATTTAGTAATAGTGCTCTGAAAACCTCAGAAGGGAGTGTGGGGGAAGTCAGACAGGATCACTTTTAGCATACTTTCAGTATGTGAAACCAGTTAATCATGATAGGTAGATTGTACAGAAAACTAATCCAGCAAAATTGCATGCTCCTAATTCAGTGTGAAAACACTACAGATCAGGGATTTATCAGATACTATGGTGAAGAGCACTGTTTATAAGAACTTTAGACTCGTTCCTAAATTGGGCATAAAATAAATATTAAGTTTTCTTTATCTTATCTTGCAGTGGTTACAAGGTCTTCCATCCAGCAGACAAAGTTTTAATGTCATCTTTGGTGAATGTCCATACTGTAACAAGGTAAGGAAACATTTCAGGAAGTCTAATGGAAATGTATAACTGAATAAAGTACAGTACTGGAGTTTGGGAAAAGTAGAAAAAATAAGAGCAGCAGACAGTTAATGTTAATTTGATAAGCACTTGTGGATTTTATATTTTATTCCACTGTAAAAATTATAGCATGGAGTTAATTTCATGCACCAGTATTTAAAACTATTTGTTGAAACGAGAGTAAAAGTAATATGTAACAATGTCTATATATCAAACATATACCAGAGTCCTTTATCGTGAAAGACACAGGAGATTTAATTCTTCTACAATTTTTAGTATTACTCTTTGAAAGGACTAATTCTGAGAAGCATGCCTAATGTTCAGAATAGAAACAATCAAATAAAAATAGTTTAGCACACATGTAGCCTTGTACATTGTAGAGGTTAAAAGGTATCTATTTACAGTATGTTACTTCACAAATCTTTTTCAAGCCAATCTCAGTGAAAATGTCTATGAAGAAACTTTGAAAAAAGAACTTATACGGCTCTGGGTGAATGACCCTGCACATAAACTCAAGACATTTTAAATGGTGACATCAAAGAAAATACAACACAAGGAATATTAATATCAGAAGTACAAGTATGGTCATGGTGTATCGGTACCTCTCTTCAGTAAATGCAAGCTTAAGAATATTGGATACAGAAGGACTAGTAAAATCTCTATTGGGTTCTTGCAAAGATACTGGAGAATATGTAATGCTACTTTGGTGGTGTTTCTTTTTAACTTCCCAGAAAACTGTTTGGGGATACTGCCTGTGTAGTTGTCTTACGGTGTTTTCCTGCAAGGGGGAAAAAAATATTCAAATGTTCCCAGCATTAAACTGAGTGGAAATCTGAATCAAAAGAACAAAGATTAAAATATTCTGTTGCACTGCTTTCTGGGGGAAACTTACATGCAAATGTCAAAGAACTACAATGAAAGAACAAATTCTCACAAGCTTTTAGCAAGATTAGCTAGTAACAATTGCTGAGCTACTAGGAGTAGAGATTTAACCCCTCTAGATTTTGTGAACATTGTCAGATGCAGCTAACATTCAAAGCTTTATACATGTACAAATACAGAAGTGTTCATATCTACAAATTAATGTGGGGTTTGGTTTTATAACATGTAGACTAAATGCTTTGCAAAAAGAAATAATTAGAATTTCATTTTTGAAAGCAACATCTAAAGGGCTCTAATACCTTTATCTTTGTCCTCAAAATTGTGAAAATCTATAACATTTACAATATTCTTGCTAATAAAGTTATTATATACCCATTCTAAACTTTTGATTGTCAAATTTGCTGTTCCTATTTATTTAGATTTCATTTTATATCTCCACAGTACAGCAAAACTTGTCATGATTCCTCAAAGGTGTAGGTGGTATTTAATTTCTAGAAGCATCAACTTTATGGCTCCTTTGTCCTGCTTTGATCTTCACCTCTGAACTGACTCCTGCACCCACAACCCCATCACAAAAACTTTCTTCAAAGCACATTTGTGTTTCTTGTATTTCAATCCTGAAGTTTCTTTTGACAGTCACCTCTTCCGTTAACGTTGCTACCTTCCCATCCCACCTTCCTTCTGCAAACTCCTGTCCGTAAATATCCCCTGTTCTGACTTCCAATTTCCTCCTCTCTTTCCTGATGCCTGTTCTGACTATAGTTTTCATATTCCATCTCACTCTCATCCACACTAGTTTCTTTTGCTAAATCCATCCCACTTATCCTCTATCCTGGCATTGTAGTCCTTTGGATGAAAAATTTATAGTGGAGAAAGTCAACGTAGACCCTGAGTTATCTACCATTTGCCTTGCCAACTGATTCTCCTTTCTAATTAGATACAGAAGTCATTCTTTGACGCTTCATCTCAGTTCAGTTTTCACCACAAAAAGATGAGAAGTATCTCATGAACTATTCTTCTCTATAGTCTCCAATTTAGGTGGTGTTCTACTCTAATCCTCTGTCATTTGCCTTCATGCCTACTCTAATGCTCTTCCTTCCCCAGCTGGTGGTTTTTCTCTGCCTTCACACATACCACTGTTTCCTGGACCCTTAAAAGCCCTTCTACCTTTCCAACTATCACACATTTCACTTCCAAGTCCTTGAGCAAGCTCTGAACTCTGGTTTTCTTGTCAGTTCACTTTCCTCGACTCTTCTCCAATCTATTCACTATTTTCCAAGTGACTAATGACACGTTTCTTGCATCTCTTCTCCATCCTCATTCAAGTATTTTACACCCCCTACCTCTATAGTCTCCTTCAACTGTTCTGCTTCCCTCCACTCTTGGTGAACTGCAGGGTTCTGTTCTTGTTCCCCTTTTCTTCCTTTTCCTGAGGTTAAGGTCATATCTGCATTCATGGTTACCAAATTACACATACCACTCTCAATTCTACTATTTCCACCCCTGATCAGTGGCAAAGAGGTATGGCATTTTCCTGATGTATTACCTCCAAAAAACTAAATGGCAAAAAACAGATTTCTCCCTACTTATTCCGCATCCCAGTCTTGGGGTTGCAGTGTTGTAAATGATTCCACCTCTCACAATTAGGCTGCAACTGAATTCTGTAACAACGTCAGTGTTTTCCAGTATATGTCACTTTCTCTCCATAACTACTGCTACAACTCTTCTTCTGCCTTAATAAGTTGATGACTAGACTCTTGCAAAGTCCTTTGTTCTGTCAAACTCAGCTTCCATCTTCCAGTCCATTTGAAATGCCACCATCAAACTCATCTTCCTTTCCTGCTGTTATAGCCATGTCATATACTGAGTCCGTTCTCTGACTCTTCATCATATTCAGCTTCCTTATCATCATGGCTGTGCCTAGACTAGAATAAGGGTATATAAAATCTTGCCTTTCCAACATTCTTTTGCTTGGACCATGCAGGCTTTGTTTCTTTTTATCTATGCCTGAAATACCCTACCTAATTTTGTACATCACAACCTATCTCTTAAATACGCTCCAAACCACTTTGGTAATCCCAATATAACTCTTCTACATCACTTTCCAAATCAGTTAAATAAAAGGAATTAGCAGGAAGCATACCATCCAACACAATATTCCCTGGGCTCATTTTGTATATTCCTTCTCCAACTTCCCTCCCCTTAATTCTTCATCTGAATTTTTTAACATCCTGACAGCCATATTTAACTTGATTCTCTTGTTAGTGATAATGTGCCATGAGTACCAGGGAACAACTATAGTGGAATAGCCAGATTAATAGACCTATTTCCCAATTCCCTTTTCCTCCTAGGGAAGAATAACTCAAAAATACTAATGGCAACCAAATATTATGCAAAAGGCTGGTTTATTCTTGTTCTTGACACCTGATCCTTCTCACTGGTTGCTGCTTTTATTGCTTGCTCCCTCTTTCAGTCACCCAGGTATACATATTCCACAACTCCTCCCCTGCAGCTATATTAAATGTACCCTTGCCTTCCAGCTAAGTGCAGCTTCTGATATCACCACAAAGCAGGGGGAAAAAAGAGCACAAATCCCCATACTCCTTCACAACACCATGATTTACAGTGAAGATGGCACCACTGTCACTGGCAGTTTCTGCTACTACACGTGATCAATGTCAGGGACCAGTCTCTATCATTCATAACCCAGGCGATGGTCTACCTGGCTGAAGAACCAAAAGCTGCTGTTTCAGGTAAGAGGCAGGTGAACAGGGGGCTCAGGGTCTGTGGGAGAGGAGGGATTTGGACGGAAGCAGGTTGGGGATGGTCCAATTGGCTATTTATATTCTAGCATCCAAAACAGAATTTCTGCATAAAAATAGCATCTGAATTGATACTTCCAACTCCTCCTCTGCATTCCCTCCTTAACAGGGAAGGTGATGTACAAAATTCAGGGCTGTTTCGGCAGGACTCAGGAGCCTTCTTTTATCTAACCTTTTCCTATTAGCTGTGACCCTCTATCTGAATTGTTCTGCTCACCACTTGCCTGACTGAAACCCTGGGACACTTTTGCTGTTTCTTCTTCACTTTGCTTCCTTGTATTGGAGTCTCCATGCAGCAGACTGCTTGAAGCAAAGATTTTTTAATAAAGCTGCTTTTAAAGTCTCGTTCTGGTGCTTCATAAATGAGTTTGATTTTCCTTACCCAATAAGAAGGGCACAACCTGAGTAAATAGTTACTGTTAAATTAACTTAAAACCAAACGGGAGGGGGAGAGAGGGGTTTCTTTTGCTAAGATGCCTTCTATTCTGAACTGTTCTTACTCACAAATAGCACTGAAGCCTTTACAGAATGATTCTTTGCATTCTAGAAGTGTGAAACTGAGCCGCACAGATCCACTTTGGCATACAAAGTATACAAGTTGAAGTTAATGAGGGCATTCAGACCTTTTATATAATAGAGTAGCCAATGCTATTGAGCTTTGATCAGTTAAATTCTGACTTTTCAAGGCCTGAAACCAAGATTTTATTATGGGTTAATATTAAATGCAGTTATTTGAAGACCCAGCTATTACCAAACAGTGCCAAGCAATTTCCTTGCTGTAAATTAGAAGAGGAAAACTATTATTGACTTACAAATGTTTACTTTAATGACAACCACTACACAAGAATGTTGTCACGGGTACCATTCCTAATATCTGTGACTGAAGAGCTAATGTTAAAGGTACTACTAGACGTGCAGTACTATTTTTGAACCTAACACACGATAACAGAACATTTTTTGAACTTCATTATATTTTTGGAATAATGTTATCCAATGGTGTCTAAGCATATACCAAATTCTGGTGTTACTGTGACGAATATCTAGCCTGCTGTTTGCACACATCTGTTGTGCCAATCTTTCAGTAGAAAGAAACACAGAATTATTAAAGCAGAACTTTTTTCAGTATGTTCTACTGTAATGTCAAATCTCACCAGCAGTGGTTCATTATTCTGACACATCAATCCAACTGGTTTCTCTTGTTCTTGTAATTGCCTGTGTGTTACCGGAATACCAGCTTTTCTCAGACAGTTACGTTCTTTATCATCCAGCTTGCTTTCTTTTTCTTTAAACTGTTTTGGTGTAGGCTTTGGTAACTTAGCCTGTTAACACAGAGTTAATAACATGATATAATGAAAACATTCAACAGTTCAGAAAGAAGAGTGCTTAAATACAGTAGTAAGAATACAAACAAAGGCAAAATTCAAAAAGAAAGTCAGAGGATACTAAAAGTATGTAGGAAATAGTTGTCAAATCTTTCCTACAAACAGGACAAGACTAGTGCTACTGTCATGCTATCATTAGCTACTACATTACCAAAGGGCATTTTTATGGAAAATTATTTCAATAATTTAGAACTATATACACTTAACCTTTGCTGGGAATGGAAACGCTTAAATTCTTCAATAAATTTCCTATCATGGCATTGAGTCTAATTAATGTTATGGTCTCAAATAAGATAAATATTACTCCTTTATTCAGTTAATCTAACCCTGGAGTGAGAAAGTTTATCTCCTCTTTTTATTTGCTAATATGTACTGGGAATAATGTTCTCTCTATTTTTTCCCATGCATCTGCGGAATGAATTTTGTTATGTGTACCAATATGGAGGTGATTATGTGGCGGGTATCTGCAGAGGGGTTTGGAGTGTGGGAGGGGGCTGAGGTGAGGATTCTGGGCTGGGGGTGAGGGGTTTGGGTGCAGGCTGCCTCAGAGCTGCAGCGGGGAGAGAGGACTCTGCCCAGCCCTTTCTCCCCACAGCAGCACCTAGGCTGGGGGTGAGAGGCTCCCTCTCCCCAGCCGCAGCAGCTCTAGAGCTGGGGGTGATTCTCTCTTCACCACAGCCCTGAGCGCCTGTGTAGCCCTTGATAGGCTGCTGCACAGCCATGCAGTTAGAGGGAACTTAGGCTGGGAGCTATACTCAGGCGTTCATGCAATTTTTTTCCAGTCTTATACCCACTCTAAATGTCAAATGATGTCTGTTTTTGGCATTTGTAACTCTTAATGTAAATGTAGCCAAAACACAGCCTGTAGGCCATGTGCTGTCCTTCAGTACTTCTGGCACACTAAACAACTCTGCAGTAGTAATAGTCACATGTGGCCCCCTGCACAGCAGTTCTTCCTGAGTATAGCAGTTACAAATTAAATCTGCTTCCTTTTGGTGGTGTTGATTAAGTAGTTCAAGAATGGGAATTACACAAAGAAATAATAAAGGAGAGTGTTGTACCAAAGTGGATTATAGGAGAGCTACTCCATCAGCCGCCAAGCAAGAGTTGAAACACAAAACCTCTAACTAGTCAGAGAATCATAGAATATCAGGGTTGGAAGGGACCTCAGGAGGTCATCTAGTCCAACCCCCTGCTCAAAGCAGGACCAATCCCCAACTAAATTATCCCAGCCAGGGCTTTGTCAATCTTGACCTTAGAAGTTTTTAAGGAAGGCAATTCCACCACCTCCCTAGGTAACCCACCCCAGTGCTTCACCACCCTCCTCGTGAAAAAGTTTTTCCTAATATCCAACCTAAACCTCCCCCAAGGTCCAATTCCAATAACTTAATCAACCTTCCCCAAGGTCTAATTCCAAAAAATTAACAAGTATAATTTTCAAAAGTGCCTACCGTCTAGTTTTTGAAAGGTGGTTAGGTAATGAAAGATGCAGATAGGCACCTAGTGTGATTTCCCCCCCCCCCCAAGATAATTATCTAAATACTTTAAAATTTGATGCTTAGATTCTCTCTCTGAAATTCTCTAGGAGTTCAGCTCCCAAGTGCCCAATCCACTTTTCAAATGGGACTTAATTTCTGAAAATCTTTACCCTACACCTGTTATCTCTCCCCACCTAAATGAAGTGTATCATGTTTTGTGCAAAAAAAAAAAAAAAAAAAAAAAAGTATATTACCTGAAATCTATCAGATAGGACCTCTGGTTATGCTTGGGTATTCAACCATAACCCTAGCATCCCAGGAGCATATGAGAAAGCTAAAAATATTTATCTGATGCCCGGAAGTATAGAAAGCAAATAGACATGACTTCCCAATTATCCATTCTAAGCTGATAGAGATGGAAGGAAATGGGAGGACAAGGTCAGCATTAATAAGAGTAAGGAGGCATGGAGTGCAGTATTCTCAATCATTTGATGACACTGTATGCGTTTCTCATCTGACTTGGACAAGGTGATTCAGTGCCTCAGTCAGTGTGTAGATGAGAGCAAGCTGGCTGAAGCTCAACCCAGACAAGACTGAGGTAAGGGTAGTGTGGAGCAAGCAGCTGGAGATGGCAGATACAATATCAGTTCCTTTGAGCATGTACATCCACCATTAGTTACTAGGGATTGCAAGTTAGGGGTGACTTTAAATTCCTCCCTGCCTTTGACAGTCTTTACAGCAGTAACCCAATCATTTTACCACCAACTGCATCTGGCTTTGAGTGTGATCTTTTACATGAAAACAGTGCCACTGTTATCCATGCTTGTTACCTCAAGATTAGTCTACATTAATCTGAAATGTGCTCTCCCATAAAACTATTCAGAGACTACAGCTGCTGGGAGCACATGACACCAGTGCTCTGGCCTCTGCACTGGCTGCCTATGGATCTCTAGGGAGAGTTTAAGTTGTTGGTTATCACTTACTGTGACAGAATACATCCCTGTATTCACTCTATAGACTATTGTAATAATCTTTGTACAAAGCATGCTTCATAAGGTATCACTTAAACTCATAATTTGCTGGTCGATATTGTCCTGGTAAAACATGTGGCAACACTGCAGGTGAAGTTATAAGATACCCCCATATGATGTTATTAACATGTTCCAAACCCCATAGCCCTGCCCAAACCGAAGTTGGTAAACAGGTCTGTCCTAAACAAAGGAATGTGTGCTTTGCTTAATTTGCATTTAAGCAGCAAACAGAGTCACCAAGCAGGAAGGGAGGACAAAGGAAGCTAAAACAGGTAAGAAAAAGCCAGCAGGGAACATCCTTCCACATGGACTTTTTGTCTCCTAATGCACAGCTGAAAATGTTTTTTCAAGGGGGGTACTGAAACTATAAAAAGGAGGAACACCCCACGGGATCCCCCTCTCTCTCTCTCCCTGCATGTTGGAAGGCTGTTTGTGACCAGCCTAGATGGGAGCTACTTCAGCAAGGCACTGTAAGGCTTGGGTAACAGACTCCCACTGGTCTGACACTGGTATGTCACACCTATAAAGCCCTCAACGGTATCCCCTCCCTGTGCCATATCGCCACAGCTAAAATCAGGAAGGACACCTTAGTTGGACCACCTGCCTTACAGAGGAGAGCTGACAGCTCAAGACTCTTGAACTGCTCCCCAACTTGTCTGAAATAACAGAATTTAGTGACCACCTGGACATTCTGCAAAAGACATCTGTAAAGTGTTTATTTTTTTTCCAGGGAGGGCTGAGGGATGTTTCCCATAATGAATAGCTGAGTTTTTTAAATGATTAATGCTAATGGGATTTCATTTATCTTGTAATGATGGTAGGGCATGCAGAGTCTTGAATAGGTGTCTATATTCATGAAAAATGACAAGTTATTCAACTGTAACAGGAGTTTGAGTAGCTTCAGTACAGATCCATGTGGCTGGACCCTATCCGGAACCTTCTAGAAAACTCTGACTGCTGGAGACTGCCAACTTTGCTTGAAGTCACAGAATTCTCCAAGTAAGGTTGTGTCTCATTACATCCTTCATAGAATCATAGAATATAAGGGTTGGAAGTGACCCCAGAAGGTCATCTAGTCCAACCCCCTGCTCGAAGCAGGACCAATTCCCAGTTAAATCATCCCAGCCAGGGCTTTGTCAAGCCTGACCTTAAAAACCTCTAAGGAAGGAGATTCTACCACCTCCCTAGGTAACGCATTCCAGTGTTTCACCACCCTCTTAGTGAAAAAGTTTTTCCTAATATCCAATCTAAACCTCCCCCACTGCAGCTTGAGACCATTACTCCTCGTTCTGTCCTCTGATACCATTGAGAACAGTCTAGAGCCATCCTCTTTGGAACCCCCTTTCAGGTAGTTGAAAGCAGCTATCAAATCCCCCCTCATTCTTCTCTTCTGCAGGCTAAACAATCCCAGCTCCCTCAGCCTCTCCTCATAACTCATGTGTTCCAGACCCCTAATCATTTTTGTTGCCCTTCGCTGGACTCTCTCCAATTTATCCACATCCTTCTTGAAGTGTGGGGCCCAAAACTGGACACAGTACTCCAGATGAGGCCTCACCAATGTCGAATAGAGGGGAACGATCACGTCCCTCGATCTGCTCGCTATGCCCCTACTTATACATCCCAAAATGCCATTGGCCTTCTTGGCAACAAGGGCACACTGCTGACTCATATCCAGCTTCTCGTCCACTGTCACCCCTAGGTCCTTTTCCGCAGAACTGCTGCCTAGCCATTCGGTCCCTAGTCTGTAGCTGTGCATTGGGTTCTTCCGTCCTAAGTGCAGGACCCTGCACTTATCCTTATTGAACCTCATCAGATTTCTTTTGGCCCAATCCTCCAATTTGTCTAGGTCCTTCTGTATCCTATCCCTCCCCTCCAGCGTATCTACCACTCCTCCCAGTTTAGTATCATCCGCAAATTTGCTGAGAGTGCAATCCACACCATCCTCCAGATCATTTATGAAGATATTGAACAAAACCGGCCCCAGGACAATATCACAATCTAATCTACATTCCCAAGAAGGGGGGATGGAGGTTGTGGATCTGTAATGACAGTTGTCCCCTATGAAATCCAGTTACAGATCAATTTTTCCTTCTCCAAATTTTGTCACTACTGATCTGCTGCAGCCCTTTACAGCAGCCCTATGGCACACCTCAGCAGCCAAGTCAGCCATTTAACCTTTGGCACTGGGGATGAGATTCCAGTCAGTGCCAAGGACGCCCTGGAACAGCATCATTACCTCTAGATTTTTAAATATAGCACGAGCAAACAATTAATAATTTATGGTGTGGTGGTGCTTCCTCTCTGTCCCTGGCTACTGAAAAAGAATAGCACAGAACAAAGGTAACAGATTCTTTGGCATTACACTTCAAGACCTCTAGAGTCAGTATGGTGTAAAGAAATTGGAAAAGGTTCTGGCTCTTGGTCTACCCAGGATGCTCTCAGGACCTCTAGGCAATACTGATTCAGTCACATACACTTCACCCAAGCATCAACCAGGCACTTCACATTTCCAAATGGGACTAAAAATTACCTAATGCTAAAAAAATTTACTGATTCCAACAGCTATCTTGAATTGGGGGTAAGAGAAAATGGCTATGGAGCTATTATAACAGACCTCAGGAAGTTCCAGCTGGAAGGAAGTGAAGGGCCACTTCTGCTTATACAATCTCACATGGAGCATTGCATGGCTCAAGGTAGGTTCCATGTGACCCCAAAACACAGAGGTTTCTAGAGAATTCTGGGTTTGGTGTGGAGCGTGCAGACAAATCCCCAAGAATGAGGCATTACTGACAATACTCAGAGAATGTTACGCTGACATGTTGTACACGCTTTATAGTTATTGAATTACTCCAATTAGCAGTAAGTTTTGTGTTTGTTTTTAATGGGAGGAGAGAGGTGTGTGTGGTAAGAGAAGAAGTGGAAAAGGGCTGAAAATGCAGAGGAGGTAACATTGCAAGTGTTGAAAGGAAGGAGGAGATAGATGGGCTGAGAGCAGTGAGCAGTACATTGCTTTTTAAGGCATTCCACCCGGTCAGCAGTGCAGCTAGAATGCATCAGCCCTGGAAAAGCTCTCTCTGGCCTCTCCAGGAGCACACAACCCAAAATCTCCTAATCTTCCCCAAATGGGGTGTCTCTCTTATGTCCCCAACTCCCCCAAGTTACAATACAATCAGTCAGCCCCAGCAACTGTAGGTTAAAACCTAGTTTTCTGAAAATCTTATGTCCTTGGCTTGTATTCTCTGTTCTCATACAAATGAGAACTTAGATTTGGTAAACTAAAACATTTCTTAAACTTAATGGAGAATACCAGAAACCTCCCTTTAATCATTCAGAAAATAAATCTCCTGTCTTCTGTCCATTTTTCAGTAAATTAGATTACATTAATTTTTTTGCCCTTAAGTACATCTTGCTAGAGAAATACCCTTGAGGAAAGAAGAACTCTAGTTTGAGGTGGCACAAGCATGCATATTTTTCAAAGTGGCAAGGCAGGAGAAATTTGAGGTTCCTCTGAAAATTTAAGTGATGATAGGTACTAAGATCAAGTCATCTGCAACAGCACAACCTTGTCTCTGACCTTGTTATTGACCATTCAAATAATTCTGCTTGTGTCCAAGGAACAGAAGCACTGATAATTGACACTTCTCCCTTATGGACTTGTAATAGGGTTGTGCACTTGCAAATTGAAGAGTTGCTACAGCACTTGCTAACTCTCATAATCAGAACAAGTTCAGCAATATCTTTCATGCTACTTTAATATCCAAGTTTAGGCTAAGTATAAAACTGAATAATTTTGTACTTTCAGCTGAAAGTTAAAAACAAAACCTGCAAACCCCTTACACAGGCATCTGGCTGTTCAGTTTTTTTTTACAGTAACACAAAATTACATTTACAGAAAAACTGCTGATTTGTAACAAATTGTATTAGGAACATGGGGAACAAAACTTGAGAAATAACACATTAAAATCTCTTTCTCAGAATGCTTTCCCTCTTGAATCTGATGTTCCTTTGGTTTCACATCCTATACAAGTTTTCACTAAGATGATAATTTTTGATCTTTATATATCTGATTTTCCTCTGACCCACTATTCTTACTATTGCAATTAATTATTGAATGTCTGCTTAAAGCTGACAGGACAAAGCGTAAGCTTCACATCATTGGTCCTGCTTCCATTCTATGAAGAGAAAGGGTCTGCAGTTTGCTGTGTACACAAATGAAAAGAACGCATAAAGAACCATAGTTTGGCTTTACTAGTCAATGTCTAATATGTAAAAATCTAAGATTCTGGTGAAGCAGAGATCTAAACATAGATCAGTAAAGGAGATGCCTTTTTAAAAAAACTTTTATATTTCAATTAAATTTAGAAAACTATACAAACTACAAAAATGAAATAAGTTACTCAAATTAGTGTAGATTAATTGGTGACCATTATTACAAGGGAAATACTGTCACTGAAATAGCTTTGTTTTGTTGTAAAAATGATAAAAACACAAAAGTCAATAAAACTGCTAAAATAAGTCTCTAATTACCAAGATCAAAATACAGTGGCTTTTTATTAAACATGAACTTTTGTTCTGCCTTCTGCAATACGTAAATAGTGCTGACAATTGGTTTGTGAGCCACTTGCTACAATAAAATGTAATTGTATCATGAGAGAAAGGTGACAATCAGGAGATCATGAAAAAATTACATATTCTCACTAGTAGTTAATTAGCCATGCAAAACCCCCTCAAACAGATATTCTTGTCTATTAGGAATGATTACTATGCAGGCCTACAGATGTCAATACCACAGTCATTCAAATACTTCTTTCCCTACTAATTGAAGGTTGTAAAGCTCTGGTGCCAAGGTTTTGCTTCCAAAGAGCTAATTTATGACTAGAAGGATATTTTATGTCTTCAGTTGCAGCAGCTACAAAACTCAGCAAATCAGAACCATCTGTGCACTGATACTTGAATCACCATTCATCTAGCAGCCTATCAGTCACATTAGTTTGCATCCTGCATTCTTGGCTCATGTACCCTTGTGATGGTCCAAAGTTCACAAGAAATATTAAAAATTAATGATACCCTGACCCTGCCTTATTGCACACGCATCAGAGAAGAAATAGGGCTTTTGCATAGGGGTAGTTTCAAGGCAGAGATATCGTGAGACTGACATTTCATATCAGGTCCAGTAAGGCTTCTAATTACATCAATCTAGATTTATTAAACTTAAAGGTTTTATTAATGGTATAGTTTCAGACTTAAAATACAGGGGGGACATATATAACATGATAGCTGTCAACTTTAAATCTGTGTGCTAAAAACACTATACAGCACTATATACAAATAAACTACTTAAATCCAAGGATGAAATATCCCCTTCAGATTGGTGGCTGTAGGAATGCAATGACAAAGGACCAAAAAAAAAAAAAAAAAAAAAAAAAAGACAGAAAATGAATTAAATGCTTTTACTTATCAAGACAACTTTGCTTTTAATCTGACCAGAATGAAAAACCTGGCATTCAAGCTTGTCTTCAAGATGTTAGTGAACAGAGTCCTTGACTTCCCCATTATCCTGAAAGTAAATGATTCTCCACAGACACACTACTTTGAAGTGAGAAGCTGTAGGTCAAAAGGACTCATGACAGTTTTTCCTCCTTAAGGGTTGACATCCCACTTTTTAGCAAAGCCAGGGGAAACAGGAATTAACAAATGCAATGTATTTAAAGCAAAACAATTGTTGTGTCAGTCTCATTTTGAGATCTTAAACTACTTTATCTCGTACAAAAGAAAAAACAATCATCAAACATGTTTCTCAAAATAATTGCTGAACTGCAAGGGATTGTGTTACTTACTTTCAGATCTTTAGACGCGCACAGATTTAGTGCACATCTAGCAGTGGAAAATTCCAGAGGGCCATCGTAAAAAGTTCCACTTGATTTCAGTCCATCCACCAGGATTTTCTTTAGCACTTGATACTTTGGCTTTTCCTCATAAGTTAAACCATAAACACATGCCAAAAACATAGCTATTTCACCTGTGGAGTATATTTTAAAAGGGATTTTTTTTTTATGTGGACCAACGACTTTGAAAAAGTCTTCAATCCAAGGAATGACAACCAAGATACAACAGAACCAAAAGGAAATAGCCACAACACAGAACTGTCGAAATACAAAGATTTTTTTTTCTTTGGATGGGAAAAGGAAAGAACAGACTGATAAACTTGCCATCCCCTATGCTGTTCATTATGTTATGATTGTTACAGAAAACTATACTAGCATTAAAAACTACTGCTAAAGTTTCTCTTTTTAGTCCAAAGATGCTGATAATTTGGCAACTAGAAAAATTTTCTTGATATTTGGATCATAACAGGACCTTTAAAATGCTGTTGCTATGTATATTGAATGCTAATTTGCAGACATTTTATAATTTGAACACCTACTGGGAAAGCAAAATGCTTTGATTTACAGGGTCTTGACAATCCCTGCATTATGCAAATATCCTATAAGTCACTAGACAGTGGTTGGTTTTGTTGGAAACAGGTCTTAATGCAACCCAGCAATATCATTATTTTACCACCATCACCACCAGCTGATATCTCTGGAGGAGTTAAGATGCCTTCAGGAGTGTGAGAATACTACAGTTGGGCATGTATAAAAAACTTTTCTTGCAGTTATTTTAGTATAATCCTAAAACTAAACTGCAGTATATATTGACATTTATCTCTTCTGATCCCCAAGGCAAAAGCTATTAAAACAGAGCCACAGAGTGTGTACTACACTGTAGGAGGAGGAGAAGAGAAAGCTAAGTTTTAAAGTAAAGTATTTTATACTACACAATTCCAATGTCATATAATACGTATTAAATTTGGGAATTCTGTGGGGAAAAAGAATAGTATGAGCAAATGCCTCATAACCTCCCCACCCTACCACGCCCTGCAAAGGCCATTGTTTGCCCTATACCAAGAGCTTCCTCTTTGGGTTACCTTTATACTGTTTCTGTGAAGAAAATACAGAACTAGACAAGCCACACATTCATTAGCTGCTTCAAACTCATAAAATGCTAAACAATAAAACCTCTTGTGGACCTGCTGCTTACATTTCCATACTAACAGCACCCATACTCCTTAACACACTCACTGCTTCCTAACAACCTGGATTGAATGTGGCTAAGATGTCACAGGCAATTACTAAGGACAAGTCTGTCATGCAGGGAGAGAATTCCTATTTGGTAATTTCCTTTATTAAAGTAAAAGAATTAAGTTCATAGCATTTACATGAAGAAACTGGTTCCAGGAAGACCTAGTGCTAACAGTCTGCTTTTGCAGAATTCTCGTACAGGTTAGAATAGCTTTGATAATCAGAGCCTAAACAAAGATTTCACGTTGAACTCAACTGTTAGGGCTACTGGCCTGATTTGTAGCTGGGACTCAACGTGGCCTACCATTTTGCAACTACAATGGATTGTGCATCAGTAAGTTCCAGGTGGAACTGGTAGCACTCAGATGTGTACCTACCTGGCTTGCATTGCAAAGGAGTTAGATCTAGATCTCTGTAGTACCAGGTGCACCCAAAAAATTGCAGGACATTGCTGAAAATCAAGCCTTTATTATCTAAGTCATCTACTTGATTTTTGTTTTATGGGATAATGAGGGATGGAAGAAGGAACAGATTTTAAACCATTCCATCATTTATAAAGCTATGTTTTAGTCTTATATTTCTATCACCTTAACATAAAGCAAGAAAATCTTCCTGTCAAAGCAGGACATCTACAACAAGGCAAGGCAAAACATACAAGATTCTGTTCAAGGCACACGAACGAAATCTGGTCCTAGTGGGAGATGTGGAGAGATGGATGAAGATCTTTGCAAGACTCTCATCAAGGCATTCTTGTAGGGTTCTGAGTCTGATAAGGAGTAAATCCATCCAAATGGAATTTTAGCTCTTAGTTTGAGACCACTGGGGCAATTGTTGGGTCTACGCAGGTGTAAAATATCAGATTCCTTTTATCAAATATGTCAGCAAATTCTTGATATTTTGCAGAGATTAATAATCTGCTGAGCACAGAAGGCAGTGGACTTCTCAGTGCTGGTTCTTGTTTCCTTGGTCCCTGACTTAACTAGACACAATTGTTGGTAGTAGATCAACTCAAGCATCTTCCATAAGATGTGTGGATCATGCTGTGAGAGTGAGAGAATACTGAGCATGATCAGAAAGTTTGCTGACTGCAGAGTCTCTAGAAAATATTGGATTTCAACTTGGAGGGGCATGATTTCACAGGACAGCATTCCACCATTGATCATTTACACTAGATCTGGGGTGTGCTTCCTGTCCACTGGAACTTGATTAGCTTTAGCAAATTCAGCATCCATGAAATTGCTGGTGGCCACACAATCCACTCGCCTCATGTACAGCTGGGATGCTGTAGGTGCAGCAGACGACAGTCTGAGGCTGCCAGCATACATGTGGGCAGAAGAGGGGGCCTCGTTGGAGAACTCAACTCCAAGGAGCAGGAGCAGGCTGTCAGAACTACCAAGTGGCAGGGGATGCTCCCAGTGAGGTAGCAATGTTGAGCAGGCTAGAGTAGCTACTCTCACTGGAAGCTTATATCCTGGGTCTTGGGGTCATCTGGTTAGACCTGTGCCTGTGGATTGGCTGAACCCTGATTGATTGACATGGAGCCCTCAGGTAATCAGGCTAAGGGATGGCTCAGCAGCACTTCTCAGGCTCAGAGAGCACTCATCAGGCAATCATAGATAACTCATTACACTAAATACCTTTGTGGATCTTGGCCTCTGTCTCTTGGGCCCAGATCCACATAGGGACTTAGATGTTGCAGTGCTGACTGTCACAGCATCTAACTTCTAAATCCCTGGAAAAATCACAGTAGCAGCCCACAGGGCTGTTGTGAGGATAAACACATTAAAGATTGTGAGGTGCTCCATGCTGCTCGGTGATGGGAGCTGTACGAGGGTGAGAGATTTTTTTTTTTTTTACCTTCTGCTACCAAAAAACATTTTTAGTACTGGCATTAAGGCCGTGGTCATCTCCTTTGCTCTGTAAGCAACGGGGACCCTAAGCTGGGAGGTGTGGAAGTGATTAGCACCAGTGCCACTGCATCATTCCCTCTCGGTGTCTGAATGGAAGCTCCTCCATTCGAGCTCTGGGGGGATGTACAAGACAGGAGGAGCTGCTGTCCATAGCATTTTCATATCCCTAGGCAGAAGATCTAAAGTATTATTTGGGTGCCAATCATTGTAGCATCTAGCTGTCAAATACAGCATTAACATTAGCATAACATTTAATTTGAAGTGGACCCTTCTCTTGCCATCTTAAAAGGGATGAGGTTCTTCACACATCTGGCAAGCACCGCATCATGGGAGGCACCCCTTCTTTGGCCTCTTGCAAAAGGAACAGAACAGCACCCGTTACCTGGCTGCTCCACCTCCTCGGTCTCTAGGTATGGACAACTTAGCATGCACTAGGAGTGAAGAAATGGCAGCCAGCCTTGCATTCCATGGAAGGGGCCAGCCCATGTCAGTTTTGATTTCATATGGTTGGAGGTGGGGATACTTGCAGTAGGGCAGAGGAAAGGGAGAATTATAGGGAATTTTAGGTGGGGAGAGGGAAAGAAAGGGAAGAGGAGAGAGTGGAGGAAGCGGGTGATGGGGGGGAAGGGAAGAGAGTGATGAGCAGAGAGGGGACTAATAAGGGAAAGGAGGAAACAAAGTTTGAGGATGAGCAAGAAATTGAGAGGTGGAGAAGAGCAGAATGGAAAGATTGAAAGAGTAGAGCGGGACGGAAAAAATGTATGTGTGAAACACAACAAGGAAATGCAGGGGGAAGTAGGATCATAGGGTTAGAAGGGACCACAAAGGTCATCTAGTCTAACCCTCTACCAAGATGCAAGATTTCTTGCGTCTAAACTAGAGGTGGGCAAACTACGGCATGCGGAACCCTCCTGCCTGGCCCCAGCTCCTGGCCTGGGAAGCTCGCCCCCGGCCCCTCCCCTGCTGTTCCCCCGCAGCCTCAGCTCACTGCGCTGCCAGCACAATGCTCCGGGCAGCAGGGCTGTGCGCTCTTGCCGGGCAGCGCAGTTGCAGAGCCACGGCCTGACCCAGTGCTCTGTGCTGCACGGTGGCGTGGTTGGCTCCACCCGGGTGGCACAGCTGCCTGGCCTGGTGCTCTGGGCAGCACGGCTGTAGCGCCGCCAGCCACCGGTGCTCCAGGCAGCGCGGTCAGGGGGCAGGGAGCAGGGGGGGTTGGATAGAAGCAGGGGAGTTCGAGGTGGTGGTCAGGGGACAGGGGTGTGGATGGGGTCGGGGAGGTCAGTGGGCAGGGAACAGGGGGGTTTAATGGGGGCAGAGGTTCCGTGGGGGCAATCAGGAAGAAGAGGGGGGGTTGGATGGGGTGGTGGGGGGTCTGGGGATGGGCAGGGGACAGGGCAGGAGGTGGATGGGGCAGGAGTACCGGGGGGGCTGTCAGGGGACAGGAGGGGTTGGATGGGCAGGAGTCCTGGGGGGGGCCCCTCAGGGGGCGAGAAGCAGGGGGAGTCAGATAGGGAGCAGGGGCCCTCCATACAATTTTGGAAACCAGATGTGGCCCTCAGGCCAAAAACTTTGCCCACCCCTGGTCTAAACCGTCCAACTCAGTTCCAGCCTCCTTTCTGAAAACCTCCACTGAAGAAGCTTCCACAACCTCCTGAGGCAGTCTGTTCCATTGTCCTGCTGTTCTTACAGTTAGGAAGTTTTTCCATTTTTCCTGAGATTTAATCTAAGCTGTGAAAGAGAGGGAACGTTAATGACAACTTTTAAAAAAAAAATCTCCTGAGTGGCTGGCTGGCTCGCGGGAGAGGTGGGGATGGCAGGGCGAGGGGGAACGCGGGCAAACGGATGCACACACACATGAACACACAAACAGGAATGCTATAAATTGAGGGGTGTCTGACAGCTGTGATCTACTCAGAAGATACTGCCTGGTCTGCTCTTGCTTACCAGTCTGATCCTGATGATCAAACTCAAGCTCATTCTGATCTCTTGTCAAATATTTATGCTGAAGGCCCCAATCCTGCAAAGTTTAGTATGTGGATATAACGTCAAAGAGGTACCACACAGGTGGACTGCTGGACCTACACATTACAATTTGCAGGATCAGGGCCCTAAGGGGATAATGCTGCATTAAATCATGCTTGCCTTAGGGGGACTGGAATTGGTAATTTAATTCTAAATATTAAATTTCAGGGTTTGTTTTTTTACTTCGTTCTTATTGTTTTTTTCCCAAAAGTTATAAAAATATTTAAAAGCCTTATTCTAACAAACAGACTAAGACAGAATGATAAAATACACAGCATATGCTCTAATCACGCTTACAGCAACTGCTTCCAGCCGGACCCCACTTCATCACTGAATCTGGGAGCTCATCCATCAGTCTGAAACAACACAAGAATACAACAGGTGAAATGTGAATTTTTAGGAAGTGATCCTTCACTTGGAATTCTGGATACAGTAAAACTCAATTCCAAAAGGAGGGGATCTCAAGGATAACTAACACTTCAAAAGACTCCTCTTCAAACAAAATCTCTACCTACCAGATACCTATTTTTAACCACCTAGAGACTGAAGATTTAAGCAAAACCAGTTACAACTGGGAAAGCATCTTCACTTCATGCCTCTTTGCAGGGGCTTATACATTTTCTGGGAGTAAATAAATATACCTTGGGATGAAATTTCTCACTTTGCTCTCACCCCAAAGATTAATTTTTGTGCTTTTAAAGTTGGGAACAGTTTTGTCTGGCTTTCTCTAATCATTTAGCACCAGATCCTTCCTAGCCCTAATGCAGGGAAGTAGGGACAATTGTGTGAGAACTGCCAGGATTACAGCTACAAGCTTGGTGGGGGAGAGTAAGGACAGTGTCTCCAGTGCTCCCTAACCAAATGAGGGGCAAAGCTATGGCCCTGTCCCTTCTAAATGTCAACAGAGCTAACTCGGTGGAAGGGGAAGGGAGCCAAGACCTACACTAGATTATTAGGTTGGTTAATTAGGTTGGTGAGGGGTGTGAAAAATCCACATCTCTGAGCAGCATTATTAAGCCAACCTAAATCCCCATGTAGACAGTGCTAGGTCAGCAGAAGAATTCTTTCATGGGCCTAGCTACCACCTCTCGAGGAGGTTGACTACCTAGACTGATGACAGAACCCCTCCCATCGGGATAAGTAAAGTCTACACCAGAGGTGGGCAAACTTTTTGGCCTAAGGGCCACATCTGGGCATGGAAATTGTATGGCGGGCCATGAATGCTCATGAAATTGAGGGGGGGGGAGGGGCTCCGACTGGGGGTGCAGCCTCTGGCCTGGGGCTGGATACCTTACTCCTCCCCCCACCTCAAAGCAAGACAGGGCTTGTCTACACTTAAAATGCTACAGCAGCATAGCTTCATCTATGTAACGTTTCAGAGTAGACACTACGGGGATTCTCCTGTTGGTGTAGGTAATCCACCTTCCGAAGAGATGGTAGCTAGGTTGACAGAAGAATTCTTCAGTCAACCGAATGCTATCTACATAGCTGGGGCCAAGGGCAGTAACTAAAGAGGCTTAAGGAGTGGGCCTCCACCCCGCTTCCCTGGGCCAAAGCCAAAGCCCAAGGTGCCAGGTGGCACTGCTTGCCCCCCTGCATGTTCCTCTGTGCCGTCTTAGGGGGGTGCACCCCACAGTTTGAAAACCTCTGCTTTAGAGTGATTTATTTTCACTTTTAGAGATTAAATTACTGTAACACTCAGATTACATTTCTCCACAATGACTCTATAGATATGATGTAATTTAGCTCTGTGGGGCTCCTGGCAACTGCCTTGCTTGCTACCCCCTACTGCTGGCCCTGCTACAAGGGACTTAGGTTGGCTTAACTACATCACTGAGGGGTGTGAATTTTTCACACCCAACCAACATAGTTTAAAACAAACAATCTAATTTTCTACTCTAGACCAAGCCTGAGCCAATTTTTCCCCACTGTTCCTCCTGGGGTGGTACCGTGTACTATACACTGCTCCTTGCTGTGGGTGAGCCAACAGCTTAGTCTAGCCCTTCATGTTTTAAAAGGATAGAACTGCAGTTAAAAAAACCTATATTCCTGCAGGGGCCCAGTTCTCTCTTTAAAAAACAAAACAGTTTCACTTAATTCTTCGGGGCCATAGCACCAAGCCCCTGTAACTGGGCTGGGGATCCCATCAGTGTAGCTGCATAGGGACCATTGGAACAGCATCTATGGTCATCATGCACCCACCTGGGAGAAGGTGGGATTATCTGCACTGCAGCGGACTGTAGTCCAGGGAGTTACAACAGAGTTGAGCCTTGTTGAACAGATGCATGTCCTATCTGAAATTGCCCTTCTACCTCAAAATCCTGAATCTCCTTTGTTCTGAGGAACCACAGGGGACCTACCAGAGCTGCAGGTGCAGGATTTGCCCCTAAATTCATAGAGGCAGAGTACAAGGGCTTTGCTTAGAGAATCTAAAAAGAGGATAAAACCATCAGGTCCTCATCCAATGGGGTGGTTTTGTATGGAGTGGCTTCACAAGCCATAACAACAGCTAGGGTTCTGCTACGATCCCTGTACAGCCATGGGATGAGCATGTGAATCTGTGAAGCGCTGGATGAACTGGCTACATCATGCCCCAAGACCTACCCTACACGCCAGTAGAGACAAACATCTGCACAGCATGCAGATGGGAAGGTCCCCATGGGGCCTGTCCTTTAAGGCTGTCAGTAGCTGCCATCACGTTTAGAGGAAACGGGAGGTGGGATTTTGTTAGTCACCTCTTTACACAACAGTACATGTTTAAAAAATGAACTTTCCAAACAGCATACTGTACGTCATTGTTTCACTCTCACATGTAATAGACGCAGCAGCAGTTTCAGTGGATGGCACTTACCCTGTGGCTCATTAAAAGAGGAGAATTCAGGTCTGACTAGAAAGCATCAGAAATCAGAGTTCCAGAACTAAATTAAGGAAAATTCTATGTGTTTATTTAAATGTCGTTAATTTCCCAAAACTTACACTTGGAAATTCTATGATTTCTAGCTGAATTTCCTCAGCTTAATTTCCCTCATGAGGCTGCCATGGCACCAGTTTCCATATGATTGTTAATTATTCTTTTATTTCAGTCACTTAGTGTTTCGTTCTTTTTTGTAATTAGAGGTAGTGATTAGAAGATTTTTATATTACACTGGAGTTTCCCTTTTTGAAGTTTTCAGATGCTTTTATTTGTGATCTGATAACTCAAGACCAGTTTAGTTTTTAAAAGTTCGTAGTTTGGTGAAAAGCACAAGCCATGCCAAGGCTGAGTGACACTGGCAGAGAAAAAGGGAACTTCAACAAGTGAGAGAACACACTGCATCATCTCCCTTACCTATTTAAGTGGGCACACAGCGGCAAATCCAGCACCTGGCCTAAACAGTGGGGATAGGTGCTGGGGAAGAGAAATCCTTTCCCCCAGGGTACAGTATGGCTGCAGAGCAACCCTGCAGAAGTCACCTCAGTTACTGGACTGGAGTATACAAGATGAAGCACCTACTTCTCCCCCCACCTTCACAGCCATAACTCAGCTACCCCTACTTCCCTGCATTAGGGCTAGCACTAGATTCTTCCTAAATTACTAGAGAAACAAGGGGAAGGGAAGAAAATGGGATTATCTGTGCAGCAGTAGAGTCCCAAGCCCTGCCTCTGTGTCTTGTGCTACTTGAACTGCACTCCCACGTCCAGGTCTGCTCTCAGCAGAACCATACTGGTTCCACTGCAAAGGTGTATGAGCAGAGAAGGGGGCTGGATTTGTCCACCGGACACCCATCAACTTGCGTGTAACTGGATATCTACATGTACATACACCAATCCCCTCTGGTCTTTCACAACATTACAGGGGCATCAAAAACATTCAGACAATTAAGGGGGCTACCTCAGTAAATGTTTCATACCAAGGGGGACACAGTCATTCAAATAAGAGGGAATTTTTGCCAAATGGAGTTGTACCATATTTTATATATTTCCTCCTAAGAAGCCTTTGGCTGCCAGTCTGGAAAATACCAGTGCTTGAAGGGTTAACAGTAAGTGAAGAATTAGTGAAGCAGTTTGATCGATTAAATTGATTCAGGAGAACTGTGTAAGTGTTAGTTTGGGTTCTGTACCGATCAGAACTTCTAAAGCAGAAATATTAAACATAACATACGATGTCAACGTTTACAGATGCAATCTGTATTATCCGCAGTCTGCAGGCTAACCTTTTTCTCTGCTAAGAGCGGATGCCATACTGCATTTGCAGATTGATTTCTGTGGCTCAGATATCCCTATTGTGTACCTCTGTTGTGACTTGCCCTACTTAAAAAAGTTTGCTGCTTTCTCCAGTTGTGGTGCTACCTCTATGGAAAACGACAGTTCAGCATATCCTTGTACTGAAGAACAGGCTATATTGTACCACATGCAATTAACTCTCTCAAGTCCCATCCGTGAGAGCACTGAAAAAAATGGCAATAAACTCTGTTGCGTTAATATTATCTAATGAGTCATGCTGGGGTGGGGGTAGATGGGGGGGCAGATTCTAACAGATAAAGTTTTTTACTTGGTATTTTAAATGTTCATATAACATTGAAACCCTAAACCAAAAGATTTAATTCTTTAAAAAAAATCTACATAACTGAAAGTGAAAGAAATAGAATGAAACAACACATGAAAAATAAGGACAGCTTGCTCAAATTTTCATCTCTGTCTCTGTGAAGCAGTTACATAGTTAATTCTACAAAATCATTCTGAATGTGCAGCAAGCATACTGGCACACAGGATTTGCAAATGCAACTTCTTAAATAATTATGAGAATTCAAAAATCTGAGAAATTGTTCTGCATCACACATTTGTGTACATGAAATCTCCACAGCTGCATGCACATAAATGCACGCAGGAGATGTAATGCACACTCCCAGAGTTCACATCTTTTAAATGCTTCTAACATATCTTTAATTAAGGGGAAATGTTTTTGCTTTCAGGTAAGGCAATATTCTACAGGATGTGAGCTCCCTTTGAAGTTCACTTTCAGATCTGTTTTGGTAAATGATGGAGTATTTGAAATTATTATTATTTACTTCATTTTAGCAGTCTGGACAGATACAGGGTCCTTCAGGTTCTGTTCCCAGGGTAGTTTCCCACATAACCACTGTAGCATGCAATAGCCAAGGATTTCAAGGTCACCTCTTCTGGATGGAGCTAAAGGGGAGAGAGAGAGAGAGAGATGAAGAATACGACCCATAAGAAATAGAAAAGCTTTGACTGAACTACTGTTGATGAAATATGAAAAAGCCAAATGGGCAAAGTGTTTTGTTTGTTCAGCTGTATTAGAACTAAAACGCCCAGGATTTTGGCCTCAGTCCACAGACAGGCAGTGACTTGTTGCTGCTGAAAGTAAGGGTCAGTTTCCTCACCTCCTCCAACTTCATCCTTCCTTAGTCTGGCCTGTCACATGAACTTGATCCCCATGGCCTCTGACATGATCCAGACAGCCCATAACCCAGTACCAACACTTTCTCAAAGAGCCAAGCAGTAAAACAAAGAAATAAATGTCTGCTGCTAAATTGCTAACACATGTTCCAGGAAGTCCATGGGGTCCACATTGGTCATGCAGAGACCCTTTCAGTGCAGACTAAACACTGATGGCCTTTCCTGTTCTACTATAGAACTATTTGAAGTTGGAAGATATGACAAAACTGCCATCTAGTGTACATTTACACACCAAATCAGTCTGCTTACAAGTTCCATGAACTGTTTGTTTAAAGAGAGAGTTGTAGCACAGGTTAAAATACACTGGCTCTTTAGTAAATCATTCATACATTTATCACAATTTTGCTTGCCAATAAGAAAAGCACCGAGTTATTTCACAAACACCAAAACCCCCCAACCCCATACGAAAAAGCTGAAAACACATACTAATTTTGTTTCTTCACTACTGGTGACAAAAAACAAACATCTTATACACAGGGAGACAGACGGTACTTGAATTCATACAAAGATTGACTGTTCCCAGGAAAGAAACCCACTGCAATGTAATCTAAGAACTAGCATTGTTGATTGCTATTTTAAGTAACAAGCTGGGGCAGATTCCCCATTTCTTTGTATGAAGCTGAAGCATATCCCATGTTCACAATATAACATGGTAGGCTGAAGTGCACTAACAACCTGTTAATCAATTAAAATTATTGAGTAAAAAAAATAGCAAGTTCTTTTGAAAATAAATTACTCATTTTCCCAAATTCATTTGAAACCTGCATAAAAACTGAGGGCAACTGTGAGTTTATATTTACGTGGTACCCCACGTCTAAAATAGAGAGACAGACACACAAGTAGTAGAGTATGTGGCTGTTAATCCAGCTGTAAACAGGTATCATATTTTATGAGCTTTCATTAAATAAATTCCAAAAAGTTACTCAGCAAACGTATCTTTTAATTTAAAAAGTCATCTACTGAAAGCTACAGTGCCAACGCTTCGTAACTGTTTCTTGTTACCATACATGGTTGTTATAAAAGCAGAAGACAAGATTAGTTCTTACATATTCTCTATCTTTACCACTATTAGACTATCAGATTACTAAAGGCCCTGCAATCCAACAGAATGCTACGTTATCCCTTGGGTGTCATTTATTTTCTGCACTAGATTCAACAATGTCCTAATGCAAGACTTGGCTCTCGTATTAAAATAAAAACAATCTATACCACTTGCTGTTCTGTAGCGATTTCTTCAGTCATAAATCTCCCGTTAACTGTGGAATGATTCCATTCATACACATGTGTTCACAACTCCTTTTTCCATTATGGCAATTCCAGATTACAACCATATAAACCAGCACTTTTGATGGCAGAGCCTCTAATTTTCACAAAATGCTATTCTGACACCTGTTTGTGTGACACAGGCTACATACAACCAGCCCTTTGAGAAAAATTGTCAGAATTACAATGGAGTACTTTTTTCACTGAGGGAGTAATTGATATGAAGCTGTAAGTAATGGCAAGTCATTTAGATTTCAGAAGCTAACCTAACATAACTACTCTTCAGATTAAATAGTCCTCAGAGAGTAAAATTTATTCCGTTGTTGTAATTTGGCCATGTCTAATTACCTTTGAATTCACATTTTAGATCTTTCACCCATTTCTTGATCTGCTACTTCATTTGTACAGCCAAGTCATGTTGTGAGTAGGCAGCATGTGTACAAGAGTTTTACCAATGCGTTAAGAAAGTTGTGGTGTCCCACAGAATAAATGCAAAATATATGCAATTAAACTACATGCTGCAACAATTAAAAAGAAAATGAAAAGTATTCCAAAGAGATGATAAATTACCAAAGCTGTTTATTTATCTACATATTTGCAAATCAGTGTTAATACACAAGTAGATTTACACATATCTTTTTTTGATATTTATTCAAAAGTATCAACATTTCATATCTACTTGATTGTGTATTGTCCTATCCTCGCTCCCTACTCTCTCATCAGTTCATTATTAGAGATCTTAACGTCTTGAAATGATAATATTTATATCATCATGATCTTTAATATTTTTATATATTTATTTGACTAATAATTACTCTGCTCTTTAGTGAAACAACAGTGTGCTTTATGGTAGTAACCAGTTGAATTCATTACAAATGTGAACTCTCTATTCTCTAAATAATCCCAATTTATCTCTCAACTATATCTTTAACCAGAAAAATAAATCTGCTAATAAAATCTAAAATGAGATTACTAGAGTCCTTGATGATTTAAAAAATAAATCTGGGTTTAAAGAACTTCAAAGCCTGCTTTATTTTAAGATATAATAAACAAGTGAAAATTCATAAAATTTTTACTTTTAAAATACAGCAATTCTGCTTGATAATCTGTCACTTTTACAAGACCATATTTTAAAAAGAATCCTTATTTTAAACCAAATTACATTTGATTTATCTGTAGACTAAGAATTTCTATTCTTTTTTTCAATAGACATTTGAAATTTGATTTTCCATTAGCTACTACAATATTATGGTGTTACAGTTTTCAGCCCAATATTAAATGCTACCTGATGAAAACATTTTAGTATAATATTATATTCCACAATACTTCACAGTTTAACTTTTTCACTTCAATATTTAAGACCTGATTCTGTACTTGTGCCAAGATAAATCAGAAGGTACTCCATTGAAGTCACTGGAGTGAAATCAGAGTCAGGCCCTTAGAATATATTCTCAACTCAACATGTAGGGATAGTGCTGAAAAATTTACTCTAACAGAGTAGCATAACTGAAGCAACTCACACTGAGATGAGAATGTATTATGCTTCTGCGTATGTAACACATTTTGCAGTTAGTTGAGACCTAATATGAATTTGGATTACTATTTCAAAACGGAAAGTAAATTATATCATACGAGCCATTTTTATGGTCTTGAACCTCCAACGTTCCCAAGAATTCATCTTAAAGACATCTGCTAACCAGAATTCATGTGTGGAACTCTCCAGCAACATAAAATGGGAGTTTTCCACTATGCCCTTATTTTGCTAACTATTTCTCCTTCCACTCAGAGTGAGCTAGAAGGCTGATCAAAGACAGAGATAATATGTTTTTCTATGACATTTTCACTACTACTATCACATTATAATTTCATCATTAGTCTTTAGATTGTAAGCTCTTCAAGGCAAGGATTGTTTTATAAGTTTGTACAGTGTCTTACACAATGGGACCACCAATCCTAACCGGGGTTTCTAGGGTCTACCATAATATAAATAATAATAGTGTTTTTTCATGACACAAAGCCTATAAAGAAAAAAAGTGTGTCAAACTGACTGTGGAGTTAGAAATATAATTTTAAAAAGATATTACCCTATGGAGTTATATCTTATGAGATGAGTGTTGTCATCTGTAGAGCACTATAAAGTAACAGAACAGTTCAGCTTGGGGTTGAGAATAAGACAAAGAAGATAAACGAGACTGAAATATGAGACTCGATAAAATTAATGGCTGACATATTTCCAAGGAACATAATGAAGTACTGCCTCATTGAGGGTATGGTCAGCCTGAGGAATTTACTGCAGCAGGAGGGCAGACTCAAATATGGTGCATTGTTTTTTAAAAGAAGGCTGGATAGTTTTAAACACCACTTGTGGGCAGCGTACACAAATTTAGCAGAGGGTTATACACAGAACTCTGTGAACAGCAGATTTTTCAGCTTGCTAGCAGTTCTGAGGGTGGAACGGGAGGGAGAAGCGTTCTGGGTCAAGCTGACACTGACATTTTTCAAAATTTTCAGCAAATCAACAAGTAATTGATTTGGATAGAACAAAAACAAAACACTTTCAATTTAGGGCATTTTAACCTTTCTTTTTTTTTTTTTTTTTTTTTTTTAAATAAAAGCAAAGGAAATTTGGAAACAAATGGCTAGATTTGCAAAATCAGGGTGGTGGTGATCCCCCTTATACCAATAGCCCAGAGGCTGGGCACTGACTTGGGGGGTGGGAGCACCTGACTGCAGCCCCTGTTCCAATGAATAATTATTAATATAAAGTGGAACAGCTGCCAAATAAGAGACAGAGACAGAGACACAGAGAGAGAGAGAGAGAGAGGAACACACACACCCCACCCCCACCCCAAGCCAGTGTATCCTATAGCCTGGTGTTTAGGGCACTAACCTGGCAGGGGCAAAACCTAAGTTCAAGGCCCTGCTCCAGAACAGGGATTTGAACCTTGGGCGCTCACATCCCAACCAAGTGCCCTAACTAATAGACTTGGGTGTAAGAAAAGGGGTGGTACTTGAACTGACAGAGCAACAGTTCATAGATTCCAAAATAGTTCCGCTTGAACTAGACAACATCTTTCAAAAGAACATCCGATCTTCATTTCAAAATTGCCAGTGATGCAGAATCTACTACAAACCTTGGCAAATTGTTCCAATGGTTAACCACTTTCACTATTACGAAAATTAGGCCTTATTTCCAGGCTAAATTTGACCATGTAGGTACTTTGTTCAAGTCGCTCCTAAACTCTCTCTTTGTTAAACTAACAAGACTGAGCTCCTTGTGTCTATCACTATAAGACAGGTTTTCTAATCCTTTCTGATCTCATGGCTCTGCACCTTCTCCAATTTATCAACATCCTTCATGAACTGTGGGCACAAGAATTGGACACAGTATTCCAGCATCGGTCACACCACTGCCAAATACAGCAGTAAAATAACCTCTACTCCTA